GCGGACCATCTGTGCATCGTCTCAATGCCAGCTGTTACGTATACGCAGCCCCTGAGTGCTTGCACCATGCTTCTAGAGTGCGGACCGTCTGCTGTCCATTCCATGCCTGTCTCGCTGAAGCTGATAGAGCCGTTTGTGGACAAGGCGCCTTGCCTCACCTGCACACAAGTATACACTTGCCTCACCTAAACCCACACCCATGCTCCCCCACGGCCACACATCAACCCACAACCCCTTCAGGTCGGTGAAGCGCGAGACATTGAAGCTGATAGAGACGTTTGTGGACAAGGCGGAGGACCTGGAGCTGATCGCCAAGCAGTTCGTGCCCGCCATGATGGACCCCATCCTTGGGGACTACGCCCGCAACGTGCCTGACGCCCGCGAGCCCGAAGTGCTCTCGCTCTTTGCCACCATCGTCAACAAGTAAGTAATTGCTCGCCTCAGTCTGAGAATGCCCAGATGCGTTTGGATCTCAATTCGCTTTCCACGCCCATCCTCTCTTCTCACCCCCACCTCTTTACCCCCACCCCCCCCTTTCCCCACCGCCTCTTTCTCCCTCCCCCGCTTCCCTCCTCCCCACCTCGTGCCTTTTGGATTGTTTCAGTGCCTAGTTGCTGTTCCCTTTTTTGCATTGTCTTCGCTTTGCTCTGTTGCCAGACCTTGTTGCTTTTTGCCCGTCACCTGCCGTGCGGCCAGTAACTCATGGCCATCTTCCTCCTCATTCATTCCCCACAACTCTTGTATTGTGAGGCCCCTTTGCCGAGCATGCACTTGATACCTGCCTGCCCTTGCTTCCCTGGTCCCGTTAACCATGGTGCCTTGTGGTCTGATGACGTGCGGTGCGGTGCTCTGTGGTCGGGTGGGGTGGGGTGTGGTGCGCTGTGGCTGTGCGTGACATGGTGTGGTGTGGTGTGGTACCTGCAGGCTCAAGGGGCAGATGATGGAGGAGGTGCCGCGCATATTTGAGGCGGTGTTTGAGTGCACGCTGGACATGATCACTAAGAACTTTGAGGACTACCCCGAGCACCGCCTCAAGTTCTTCTCGCTGCTGCGCGCCATTGCCTGCCACTGCTTCCGCTCCCTCTTCACGCTCTCGCCCCAGGTCCGCCTGTGCACCCTGCACCCTGCATGCTGCACCGTGGATCTCTTTTCTCTCTGCTCCGCCCTCGCCTCGCTTCTCGTCTCACGTTGAATTGCTTTTTGGTTTTATCTCCATTCCATGCCGTTTCACGTTCCCTTCATTCTCATCTCGTGTTTTCCTCCGACTCTTCAATCGGTTCCATCCTCTCCCATCCCCTCCCCACCCCCCCGCTGCATGTGTGTGAGCCTGCAGCAACTGAAGCTGGTGATGGACAGCATAGTGTGGGCGTTCCGCCACACGGAGCGCAACATTGCAGAGACAGGCCTCAACCTGCTGCTCGAAATGCTCTCCAACTTCCAGGTCCGTGTGTGTGCTGCCCCCCATGCCTAGGCATCCTGGACGGTGCAGTTCCGTGCCTTGTCGTTCAGGTCACCAGGCATCCGCAGCACGTAACGTCTTGGTGCGATATTTTGAAACTGTCTAGTCGTTAACCAGACCCTTCTGCAGGTCCCCCCCTGCATTTCCACTGTTTCTCTGCCCCGCCTCGTTTTTCAACTGCCTTCTGCGCGTGTGCCCCTCTGCCCTTGCGTTCCATGTGGTCCCTTGAACAGAACTCGGAGTTCTGCAACCAGTTCCATCAGACGTACTTCCTGACCATAGAGCAGGAGATATTCGCCGTGCTCACAGACACCTTCCACAAGCCCGGCTTCAAGCTGCACACGCTCATCCTGCAACACCTCTTCTGCCTCGTGAGTGCATCCTCCACCCTACCCACCCAACCACCTGCTTCTCCCCTCAACCCCTCCCCACTCACGCACATGCACGTGCACACGCACAAGGAGGAGTCGCACGTATCCTGCTCTCGCTGATGCTTTGTGTCCCACAGCCAAGTCTGGGCAATGCTGGGCACAACACGCCTAGAAAGCTCATCTTTTCCCCGTACCCACCCTCCATCCACTCCCCAGGCGGACTCAGGGGTGCTGACCCAGCCGCTGTGGGATGTGGCAACGCTGGGCCCCACGGCATTCCCATCCAATGCGGCCTTTGTGTGCGACTACACTGTCAAGCTGCTCTCCACGTCCTTCCCCAACATGACGCCCCAGGAGGTGCGTGCTACTCTCCCTTGCCCTCTTATCGCTATGTGGCTTCGCCATGCTCTCTGCGTGTGTGCGTGCCTGTGCCATACAGTTTTTCCTTCCCTTGCATCCCTTGTGCAGCATGCAGCTGTCCTCACTGCTTGCTCTGTCACTCCATCTGGCCTTATCAACCTCTCTCCTCCCTTCCTCCTCCCGCTCCCCTTTGCGCTGCCTTGCTGCTGCTGTGTTGCCTATCTTCTCCACCGTCCATCCCTCCTCCTGTTCGTGTTGGCTTGCGATGTGCATGGTGCGACCCATGTGTGGTGCATGGTGCGACCCATGTGGGGAAGCAGATCACCCAGTTTGTGAGTGGGCTCATGACAGCCAAGGCAGACACGGCAACGTTCAAGAACCACCTGCGCGACTTCCTCGTGCAGTCCAAGGAGTTTTCTGATAAGGTTTGTGTGGCTTCACAAGCACTGTGGCTCTAAAAGCACTGTGGGCTTAGCAGCACTGTGGGCTTAGCAGCACTGTGTGGATTCATTTCTGCTGTTTCCGCTGCTAAATCTGCTCACGTATGGTCCAGCCCTCTTCCACTTTTCTTTTCCCGTTTTCCTCTCCCCCCTCCCCCACGCACCCCTTGTCTCCTCTTTTTCTCACACACCCCTTGTTTTCTTCGGTCAATCCTTCATCTCCTGCCTCTGTGCATGAATCCCCTGTGCGTGTGAGAGAGCAGGACAACAAGGAGCTGTATGCGGAGGAGGCAGCGGCGCAGCGGGAGGCGGAGCGGCAGCGCATGCTCTCCATACCAGGGCTCATAGCGCCCAACGAGCTGCAGGAGGACATGACCGACGCCTGATGCCTGATGCTCATGCTGCTGCCGTGCTGTGCTGTCATGGGGAGGGGAGAGGGGGAGGGGGGTTGGGGGAACTTTTGAGGCGCCTCAAAAGGCATGCTGTCCATCCCGGGGCTCATAGCGCCCAACGAGCTGCAGGAGGACATGACAGACGCCTGATGCTGCTGTGCTGCTGCTGCCGTGCTGCCGTGCTGCCGTGCCAACGTGCTGTGGTGGAAAGAGGGAGAAAAGGGGCGATGGGGAGGGGAGGGTGAGGGTTTTGTAGAATGAGGGGTGGGCAACAGGGAAACAGAGGGAGGAGGTGGGGAGAGGGGGGGCGTTGTCGGGTGTTTTGAGGGAAGATGGCTTATGCTCTTGTACTGGAACACCGACAGTACTCTTTGGGTGCTGCTGCTGCGGCCGCTTCTGCTGCTGCAGCTGGTACTGCTGCTGCAGCTGGTACTGCTGCTGCAGCTGGTACTGGTGCTGGTGGTGGTGCCGCTGCTTCTGCTGCTGCTGCTCCCTGCTTTTAAGCCCGTGCACCACGTACAGGTTGAGATAATCAATATGGGTTGCTGCAACTGGCAGGCATCCTGCAGGCATCTGCTGAATCCCTTGCTGCCTTCGCATCCATCTTGTGTGTATGTTCCCTGCTCCGTTTCCGTCCGCCTCTACTCTTAGTTCCTCGCCCCCCATTGCGTGCCTGCGAGTGCGCGCTGTTCCGTCCCTTCTTCTGACTCTCACATTCACGGTTCCTGGTCTGAATGTGTGCGAAGCGCATAGCGTAGCAATGCATGGGGTTGTAGAGAGAGCTGCGGCGGTGTGTTGACTGTCTGTGAGCCACTTTCAGCACTGCTCGCTGAACGTCCTGAGTCCTTCCGGGATGCTGTTGCTCTCGTCGGGGAGGTACAGGGTTCACCTAGTCATTTGCACATTCCCTCCCCTCCAGCTCGTGATGCAGCTTACTTTCCTCTCACCTGACTCTCTTCCCTGTGTGCGCACATGTGCTATGCACGCACATGAGAAGAGGTATGTCGTACAGCCAGATAGCTGAGGCGTCACTGGAGTTTGTGTGAAGGTGGTGGTGGTAGTCTTGGGAAGTTGGTCTCTGCGTCTCTGCTGGTGGTCTACATGGTGAGGTAGGGTGAGTTGAGCTGCTGAAGCTAATGGTCGAGCAATAGCTGAGAGGGTCTCCTGGCTGCTTACATGTCTAACTACTACTGATGCCGTTGGCATCGTACTATAATATACGTCTTCGGATTGTCCATCTCACTTCTAAATATGCATGGTTGTGGGCTTTTTTTGCTTTTTCACTAGGTATTATAAAGCATGTAAGCGCCATGTTTATCACAGCGAGAAACCCTAGCTCACCAAAATGCGGACGGCCGGGAAAACATTGCACATGAACAAAGTCCATGACGGGGCCCATGTTCGGTTCTCGCCACTGTATCAATTTTTCCCGCCAACCCAGATAATCACAATCAGCCTTCCCACGTTTCCGCTGCTGCAGGTTCATGATTTTTTCGTAGGCGGGGGAAGGCGAAAGCTTTGTTACCAGCTGGACGGTGCGCGTATGTGGAGAAGGGGTTTCTAGAACTGAGGCAGGAGCTTGCGGAACGTCGTGTATTCTTGTTCGCCCATGAAAGTGTGGGTAATGAAAACATTCTGTCACTTAAGTACCGTGTGCAACTTAGCCGCAGTGCTGTGTTACGGCTTGAGATCCACCTAAAATATTTCCTATTTACTTGCATGGATGGGTCCCCACGTTGCTTCTGAAAAACGTTTACGGAAGTGGGGGCACTTCAGCAACCGGACTAGGTCAGAAAAAGGTTTAAGCGGAAAATGCAAATAATCGCGACCAGCCCTAGGTTCTGTCTCCTTCCCTCCTGGCTACTGCCACGTCCTTAATCGCCCTGCAGTTAGTTGGTTGTTCATGCTTGTCGCTGCTTTCCTTGGACTCGTTTCATGTGTTTCGTCTTCCTTAGACTCCGCCATACGTACCTAACCGATGCTTGCGCTGTCTATGCGGAGTAAAGACAAACTTCCACCAGCATATCCTGGTCAAGCGAAGCACTTGTTTCGTGGTAACGATAAGAGTACATCTGTACTTAGTTTTTTCGAGATACGGCAGCGCGTGTATGGCACGGGCGTAGGAGATAGAGAACTGAAGTAGGAGTTTCTGTGCTAACTTGATTACCCTAGTACATTAGTCCCATGACGTCTCATAACCCCTCAATAGCACCACCTGCCTCATGAGACCCGCTACCTAGTTGGTCGGCACCTAAGCGATAGTAACCATTCCATTGCGCGAGTAACCATTTTCAATGAGCGAGTAACCCTTAGATGCTCGAGCCGTGTACCCTTTCACAGCGCGCCGAGCCATTGCGGGATCAGGACTTGCCGTTGAGACACCATCACCGTGGATGCGTCAAGTGGCGGGCCCTCCCTCGCGGGGGCCCTGCCCGCTGCCTTGGGAACGGCCGCGCTGGTCCCACCTCTCGGTATTGTCACATCCGCTCCTCCCGGCGATGCTGCAACGGACGTGTCAAGTGCCTCGAAGCTGAGTCAACACCAGCAACAGGAGCAGCAGGAGCAGGAGCAGGAACGAAGAGGAGGAGGAGAGCATTCAGATGTGATCGGCGATGCCGTGCTGTTACCCGGCAACCAGGAGGCAGACCTACTGCAACCCAACGATACGTGTGGTGTCCATGGAATAACGTCGTCACCCCTGCGCTCCGCAGAGCAGGCGCGCACGTGCCCGGTGAACGGGATCGCGCTCGGTGCGGCGGGGGAAGCAGGGGAGAGTGCGCTGGGAGTGGTAGGGGGAGAAGCGGAGATCGCGCGTGGCGGAGGGGGCGGCGATGGGGCTGCGTATATGGTGGAGAAAGCGCGGGCGGCGGAAGCGACGGGGGATGCGGTAGATGGAAGCACTTTTGCAGCGATTGGTGGGGGAGGGGATCCGCAGGACGGGAAGAATGGAGGCGGAGAGGGAGGGGAAGGACACGCGGGTGGGAAGGAGAATGCTGTCGGAAATTTAGAGGGCGCAGTGGACGAGCGGAGAGGGACACCCGCGGAAGAGGCGCTGGGGGGAGGGAGCACGGCGGAGGGGGGACAGCTGGTCGGGGGGCAGCCGGAAGAGGGGGAAGGGTCATGCAATGCAGAGCAACGAGCGGTGGCGGAGGGGGAATCGGGAGCGCTTATACAAGGGGAAGGGCTGGGAGACGGAGAGAAGGAGGAGGCGGGGGCGAGAGAGAGTGGAGAAGGGGAGGGAGTGTTGGTAGGGGAAGGCGCGAAGGAAGCGTGCGAGAATGGCGAGAGGGGCGAGAGGAAGGTGCGGTGGCTGGATGACGAGGGGCAGACGTTGACAGACGTGCGAGAATTCGAACCCAGGTGGGTGCCTTGTGCGTTTGCATTGCCTGTCCCTCGTGCGCTTTGCTTCCCTTTGCGCTGATGCTGACAACCTGATGAGTCGCATACTGATGTGTGCTTTATGCTGGTGCGACGCATACTGAGCCATTGCTAAGCTATTGCTGTTCTGGCTGGGTAATTTCAGTCTGACTCATCGAGTGGAACAGGGTAGTTTATTGAATTAAACTGATGCATGACTGGTGCTTTTAAAGGTTCGAAATCCTTATTTTATCCACCTATTGATGCTTCATGTTTTGGCGTGGGATGCGATGGCATGGATGGCATGGGATGGCCTGGCGTGAGATGGCATGGGATGGCATACACTGGTTTGTTTGGGTTTGGCATTGCAGTGAGTCAAGCAGTGATGATGACGACGAGCATTACAAGGAGAGCAGCCATAAATGCAGCTGCAGCATCCTATAGTCCGCTCACTCCGCCTCTTGAACGCGATACTTCAAGAATTGCATGCCTCCGAGCGCCGCACTCTCAGGAATGCCCACCCGAGCATCTCCTTGTATCCCTTCCCTCCCTCCTCCCTCTATCTCTTCTTACTCCTCCCTTCCCCCTACCCCCTCTCCCCTCTCTCCCCTGTCCTCTCTCTCTCTCTCTCTCTCTCTCTCTCTCTCTCTCTCTCTCTCTCTCTCTCTCTCTCTCTCTCTCTCTCTCTTTCTCCCTTTCTCCCTCCCTTCCCTCCCTTACCCCTATCATCTTTCCTCATACCTCCTTCCATCTCTCTCCTTTGTTCTCTCTTTCACGGATATCTGCATTCAAAACCCGCCTCTTATCAAAGCCTTTAATGCCCCGCCCTCCAGCCATCACTACACTTGGTTGCATCGACTTTCACCAGCCAAGTCAGTCATTCATCGCTCGCTTGCCACCAACCATCCATGTGTCCACCCATTGGTTGGCTGGTAGTTATGCAGTGGTATTATCTTGCCATTGCATTGGTCTGCCCATGCAGGCGCAATAAGGATTAATTCAGTTGGTGGTTTTGAGTAGTGCATTTGTTTTTCGCTTAGTTCGTGAACTAGGTCTTTGTGTGCAGTACTTGCACTGGGCTCTGGTGGTCCGTGCCATAGTTGCTTAATTTTAGGAGGTGAAATAGCTGTAGTTGGTTAGCATCAGCATTTACCTTTTTTGGGTTGCGAAGCAACCTATTACAATCGTTATGTACAATTTTTTTTTCATCGTTATGAAAAAAAAAATAGCGAATCGTGGCTAAGTGATTCAATGCTGTGTATTTGCCACGACAATTTAGCACGAGCCGTGCCACATTCTTTCACATTTCCTAGGTAGTTCGCCTTGACTGGTAACCTATACTTTATCGATGAAACATAAACATGACTTGCCAAAATGATGTACCGTAACTGTGAATGCGTGACCGTTTATTCGGTAATGCATATGCCGGAATATATAATGTATAGATGAAGTATAATGATGATTGAGTGCAAAATGCATAAATATACATGCATATATGACTGTGGTGAATATACATGTGCTCTGTTTATTTCGGTATAGGTCCGGTGCAGTGAAATGAATGCATGGCATGATGGAAATGCGTGACAGTTAATTGACCCAGACCTTATGCTACCGCATCCCCTGCCTAGCATGGGGGGGAAGTCGATAGCATAGTTCCTGAATCATCCAACTGTTACATGAAACAACACAATCTGTGTAAACTAAAAAAATGATCAAAATCTGTCAAATGTTGTAGCCTATAGTGAGGTTTGTCTTAGGGGGTACAAAACTTAGGGTTAGCTATATGTACCCCAACCAACATCAATGCATCATCCATTCTTCATTCTGACATGGTATCAGTTAGGTTAGGATCCTGTGGGATCCCGTTCCGCCGTTCTCCGTTCGTACCACCCGAGCCTGATCCTAGCTCTCGTTCGTCTCCTTCTCGTTGTTACCGAGCCTAGCGCCGAGCCACGCTCTCGTTCATATCGTTCCCGCTGTTACCGAGCCTAGCATCGAGCCACGCTCTCGTTCGTAGCGTAGCCCTTCCCCCCCCTCGAGTCGCGCCCGTCCCTTTCCCCCTGTCGCGTCGCGCTCCCCCCGTCGCGTCGCGTCCGCGCCTTCCCACCGTCGTGTCGCCTTCCTCCTGTCCCGTCGCGCCCCCCCCCTTTCCCCCCGTCGTGTCGCCTTCCCCCTGTCCCGTCGCACCCGCCCCTTTCCCCCCGTCACGTCGCCTTCCCCCTGTCCCGTCGCACCCGCCCCTTTCCCCCCGTCACGTCGCCCTCCCCCTGTCCCGTCGCTCCTGCCCTCTCCCCCCGTCGCGTCGCCCGTCCCGCAGCGCCCGCCACTGTCGCTCGCGACCGCGCTCGTCGCCGCCGCGCCTGCCGCCGTCGCCCGCCCCCTGCGCGCCTCGCTGCGGCCCCGCCGTCGTCGCCCGCCGCTGCGCGCGTCGCCGCTGCGGCCCCCCCCCCCCTGCCGTCGCCCGCTGCGCGCGCTGCTGGCCCCTGCTGCCGTACGCGCTGCCATCGCCCGCCGCTGCGCCCGTTCTCGTTCTCCGCTGCTTAGTCCCCTGTTACCTCCTGCTCTCACGCCCGCTGTGGCGTCCGCTCCTCCCCTGTCCCAGAGTACCGCCGAACCCTAATTTGCCTCTCACCTACTGCTGTCCCCTCCCTCTCCGTTCGCGTTCGTTTTCACTATGGCGACTCAGCGTGTCCTTCGTTTCGACGCTGACGGTAGACCTCTTGATTTTTCCGTCTGGCTTCTTCGTGCTCGCCGTCTGTTAGAGAGTCAGGTCCAGGCAGGCGAGACCCTCTGGGCGCACGCTACTGGTGCCCTACCTGCGCCCCCCGACCCTACGCCTTTAGGACCTGCCCCTGACGACGCCGCTAGAGCCCGCTTTGCCACTCAGCGAGCTGACCAGACGGCTTGGACGTCACGTGACGCTGCGGCCTGCATCGCGCTCAGCAGCCTCCTCCCTGAGTCTGAGGAGGTTCACTTCACTCAGGTTCGCACCGCTGCTGCGTACCTCACTGCGATTAAGGCCCGCTACTCTACTCCCGCTGCTGTCTCTCTTGGCCGCCTGTTCCTCCCGTTCCTGTTTCCTGACCTGGCGTCTTTTGAGCGCTCTGCTGACTTGATCGCTCACCTCCGCTCGCTCGACGCTAGTTACCGCGCTGCTTGCACTGAGGCACAGCTTGCACTGCTTCCTCCCCCTATGGCGATTACTATCTATTTCATCGCCACTAGCCTCCCTGACCGCCTTGCCTCCGTTCGCGACGCGCTTCTGCTGAAGCACCCTAGTGAGCTCACCGTCGAGGTCCTTGAGTCTGCACTCAAGGACGTCGAGAGCAACCTTCGCTCGGTAGCCGCTGCCTCTGGTGCTGTGCCCCCCCCACTCTTCCACGGGTGCACAGTCCCGCAGTTACCCACCTTTACTGCCTCACTTGCCACTGCCGCTACTGACGCGACTGCAGCTGCTGTTACGACTGCGTCGCGGTCCCGCGGTAGGAGTGGCAAGAAAGGCGGTTCTGGTGGTGGTAGTGGAGGTGGAGGCGGAGGTAGTGGAGGTGGCGTTGCGCCTGGCGGCGGTGGAGGTTCAGGGCCTGGAGAGGCGCCTCGTGCAGTGACTGGTGACTCCACTGCGCCTGCTGGTGGTGGCGACGCCCGAGTTCGTCAGTCGCCTCCTGTACTTCCTGCCCCGGTTGGTGGAGCAGCGGCGTGGTACCAGGCTCAGCGTCAGCAGCAGCTTCTGCAGCACCAGCAGCCCCTCTCCTCCCAGCAGCCTCAGCAGCAGCAGCGGCAGCAGCTGGCTCCAGGGTCGGGGCTGCGTCAGACCCAGCGCGGTGCTGCTTACACTCCCTGCACCTACCAGGTTCTGACAGGCACTCGTCGTGGCCACCCTTGTGGCCGGTTTCACCCCCCTGGTCAGTGCTTTGCTCAGCTCACTGACACGGTTCGTTTGGTCTACGGGGTTGGTGCTCCTGCCCCTGACTGGCTGCCTCTTGTTCAGCGCTACGGCTCCGCTCTGTGGGGCATGTCTGCTGAGCAGTTAGTTGATCTGATTGGTACTCCCCATGCTATGTATGCTGTTGTTGACTCTAGTGTTTCTGACTCTGCTTACTCTGGTGTTGTTAGCTTAGGTGCTAGCCTTGCTCAGTTGCCTGTTGCTAGTGTAGGTTCTTGTGTAGACTCTAGTCCAGCGGCTACCTCAGAGGACGGTTCGCTGTCGTTCACGCTGGACTCTGGAGCCTCTCACTGCTTCTTTCGTGACAGCACGACACTTACGCCTCTTCCTGCGCCTGTTTCTGTGGCGCTGGCTGATCCCACTTCGGGACCAGTCACCGCGCGTCACACTACCACCTTGCCGTGTCCGGCTGCTCCTTCTGGGTCTCTCACTGGGTTTCACGTCCCCTCGTTCTCCCGGAACTTGGTGGGCGTGCGACCCCTCGTGAGTCAGCACGTGGGTGTGTGGTTTGAGCCTTCTGGAGAGACTGCGGTGTGTGTTGACGGGGACTCTTACCAGCCCCTCGCCACTTTTGCTGCTGAGCCGGGCTCCGGTCTCTACACTCTTCACACTGGCCCGCGCGCTCAGCAGCGACTGCAGCAGCAGCAGCAGCCGCAGCAGCAGCAGCCGCAGCCGCAGCCACAGCCGCCCCTCCTGCCCCCGGCCCCTGTTTTGCCCCCCGTTCGAGTCCTCGCGTCTCACCAGGTTGCTCCGTCCCCCCAGGTAGCTGTGTCTTGTCAGGTTCCTCCGTCTAGTCCGGTCGCTGCGTCGTGCTCCTGTCGGTCGCTTGCCCACCCCACCGTTTTGTGGCACCACCGGCTGGGGCACCCTTCTCCTCCTCGTCTTCGCGCTATGTCTCGTCAGCGTCTTGTCTTAGGTCTCCCGCGTGTCTTGCCGTCGCTGCCGCCGTCCCTTGCACCACCGTGCGGTCCTTGCGTCGAGGGTAGGCTGCGCGCCACCCCTCACTCCTCCTCCCTTCGTCCGGCCACCGAGCCTTTTGAGACGCTGCACTTGGACGTCTGGGGCCCCTCTCCTCGCCCTGGCCCTGAGCGTGAGCGTTTCTTTTTGGTGGTCGTTGACGACTACTCCCGCTACACCACAGTGTTCCCCCTGGCGAGGAAGTCTGAGGTGACTTCTACGCTGATCAGGTGGTTGCTTACTATCCAGGACACTCGTGGTCGTCGTGTCAGCTGTCTCCACTCCGACCGCGGGGGCGAGTTTCGCTCCGGCATTCTCGCTGGATTCTGTCGCGAACAGGGCATTCGTCAGTCCTGGACGCTTCCGGAGTCCCCACAGCAGAATGGGGTTGCTGAGCGTCGCATAGGCCTGGTCATGGAGATTGCCCGCACCTCCTTGACTCACGCCCGTGCCCCCCATTTCCTGTGGCCATACGCGGTCAGGTACGCCGCGCACCAGCTGAACCTCTGGCCACGCGTCTCTCGGCCGGAGGCTTCACCGACCA